AGTCTTGCTGCTAATTACAAGTTGCAAGGGGAGTTCATGGAGCTAAAAAGGGCAGCATTTTTTCAAGTGCTCATGAATGTGCTCTCTTTGGCTACATACACACCATACTTTTAAAGGATATTCTACAGACATACACACACACATACACCCCTCAAAGAATCCTGAAAACTATAGCTTGTCCCTCACTTAAATACAATTCCCAACACCCTTAACAAATTACAGGTTTCTTTTTAGGGTGGGGCATGCTTCAAAGTGTGTTTTCAACCTTTCTAATCTAACCAAATTTGTATTCCTGTCCTGTTTTCCCCCCACCATTAGTGTTCCAAAGCAGCTTATTTCATGAGGCGTGAATATTCTAGAAGAGCAATCATAAATAAAGTAACAAGTAGCCAAAAGTAAAAGCAGAAGCAATAATAATTAGTTAAACCTTGAAGAGCTTTATTTTTTTCAAGGACCAAGAAAACAAGATAGCCTTCTCTTGGTACCTGAGCAACAACAAACTCAAGCAGACATCTCTCCAGAGATGTGGCATTACAATAGAATAAGCCTTGTTCCCAAATTAATCTGATAACCTGGTTTGTACTTCTACTTGCACACTTAACCACTGACAAGTTATTCATATCCTCCAAAAGAGTTTCCCATTTCCATTTCGCAGGGCTCTGAAGTTTGTCAAGATAACACCGTATCTTTTGTAATTCAAATATGAAAGTAAAAATATACATTTTATCTATTAACTACAACACTCAGTTTCAAATAGAACAAAATGCATACTTCTTGAAGTCACCAGCTTGACAGTTCCCAAGTCCTGGCTTCTGGGAACTTAACTTCTCTGTTCCCAGCAAGACCCAGAACCTGAACCCAAAAGCCTTTGGACTGATTCAGCAGGGCTCTTCTCATGGGTACAAATACTTGAGGAATTCAATTACTCTGAACTGTGATGGAAACAGAAGCTCCATGGACTAATGGGTGGATTAGATGCAATTGTTCTTCTATTTTTGCACTTCTTTGAATTTTGCGATTCGGCACCTGGTTTAAAAAAGTGCCAAGGTGAATTAAAATGTATATTTTATGATAAAATGCATGTAATTGAGTTAAAAGGCATATTTCAATGTGATCTTTGTGTTGAAACTCATAAATATGTGTTTTAATATATAGGCAACAACCGATTTGTGTGGGACTTATGTTCCTGACCCTGTGTGCGTTCGTGGAGTAAACATAATCCCACTCCACCTCAGTATGCCTTCTATTACAGCCCCCTTTCCAGCAACTTCTGAGTTGCTGCAATGCGCATGTGTGCAATTGCACATCAATTGTATGTGCATAAATCAGTTGTTGCCACTACACAGATAATTGTGGAAACAGGATGGGATGAACATATGCAAAACTGGTAACAACTGGACACAGACTGATCTAAGGATGGTTATTCCTCCTGCCACGTAAAAAGTACAGTGGTGCCCCGTAAGACGAATGCCTCGCAAGACGAAAAACTCGCTAGACGAAATGGTTTTCTGTTTTTTGAGTCGTTCCGCAAGACGAATTTCCCTATGGGCTTGCTTCGCAAGACGAAACGTCTTGCGAGTTCTTGCGAGTTTGTTTCCTTTTTCTTAAAGCCACTAAGCCGTTAATAGCCGCTAAGCCGCTAATAGCCGTGCTTCGCAAGACGAAAAAACTGCAAGACAAAGAGACTCGCGGAACGGATTAATTTCGTCTTGCGAGGCACCACTGTACTTTGCTCATCAGATGGAAGGTGATACCCAGGCTGACACTAAGGCAAACTGGGGCAGTTTCCTCCAAGCAGACTGGCTGGCTCAGAAGAGCTCGAGGCTGCAAATAATTCCACGGCGAGAAGAGCAGACAAATGCCTTTTCCCCCAAGTGCTTCTCCTTGCTAACAGTGTTTCCAGCCTACCAGGTGAACACCGGAACTTTTCCCTGCCAAGAGACCTACTAATAAGGAGTTCTCCAGCTTGTCACAACATGGCAGGCTACAAGCTGCAGCCCTCCTGCTTGGAAGTGGATCTTTTTACAAGCAGCATTCACCCCTGGGATATACACAGTTTTCTGGGAGGGAAAGTGAAATACAAAAACACAGCCACAACAACAAATCTCTAGGAGCTGGCAGTCATCTGAAACAGGAATCCGATCATCTCCTTGATTGCAAATTGATGTTGCAGTGCATTATTTGCAAGAACAAAAGCGATGCAAACTTTTATTGATTTATTGAATTTGACTCTACCGCACACCTTTACTGTATTTTCTTTTGTAGTCTGTTTAAGGGCCTTGGCCAAAAAGCAGTATATAAATAAACCAACGATGATAATGATGAACAAGAAACATTAAAAGAGCATCCCAAGACATGCATATAAGCTACCAGGAAGGACCATTCCACAACAGTTTAATACTGTTCTGCGCCATCCCAGCCTCCAAATGATGCAAAATTCCAGGGGTTCTAGACACTAACCCAGGGTTCGGTTTCCTGGGAATGAAGGAAAGTGGAGACCAGGCCCATGCAGAGCTTGTCTGAGACCCAGGGCAGGTGTTCCTTGTTGGCTGGGAGGCATGGGAAGTTCTTGCATGACAGTGTAAGTCTGGTAGGCCCCGGGTAGGGGACCCCAGCCAACTTAGGCTTCAGAGGCCCGGCCCAAATGTACCTGGCTGCCCCACTGCCTGCACAGGCCTGGTGGAAACTGTGGTGTCTTTAGGGTATATGGTTTATTTACACATATATTCAATCTTAACACCACAAGAGGGTCTTGTTCTCCCATAGCCAATGCCTTGGTTTCAAGCAGAAATCAGGCGTGGCTTTTCTCCCAGCTGCCCAGCCTGCAGCCTTCCAGCTTCTAGTGAACGTAACTCAACTCCCAACTCTGCCTTTGTCTTTCAAACTACCAGAGAGTTGAAGGAGGGTGGCCATTTCATTTTTCTTCTGCCAGGCCAGTACAGAGAAGGCAGATACACTTGCCCCAGGCCTCAGAGGCCCAAGTCCAGCAGGAGGGGTGTTGGTCAGGGGCCTGCCAGATTTATGCTACCATGCATAAAAAGGCCCCAGGCCTCCCAGCCAACCAGGGACTCCTGCGCAGGATCTCACTTCTGCTACAGAGTGACTTCCTTCATTACCTTAATGGTCTATCCTTCGAGGACCATGACCTCACCAGGAAGCTAGCCTGGCTAGTCCAGGAATTGAAGCCATGCTAGATTGAAGAATTAGAAGGGGACTCAGGCATACAGCCACCCCTTCCCCAAAACAATACTTACTTAACATGGCAGTTAAGGACAATGCTACTTGCTATTTCTTAATCATGAGAATACCAGAACTCAGGAGTTCACGTGACTCTATTTCCAAGTACATAAAGCTCAATGGGACCCTGGATAATGAGACAGTACAGCTCTTATACAGAGAGTACAAAACAGTGTGAATATAACACTGCCTGGTCTTCTTGCCATGTTTAGGATGGCAACCAATTCCCTCCAAATGCTCCTCTCTTTCATTTTTTTGGAGCTTAAGACACAGAAGAGTACGGTACAACTGTGCTGGCATTTCCACAAAACTAAACACAGCCTGAAAATCCACTTTCAACTATCAATAGGTAAAGTGTCTGGTGCAGACATAACAGTAACTGTCGTGAGATTCTGAAAAGTGGAAGGAGGGAGGGCCACATACCCAACCATGGATGGTTAGAAGATCAAGCAGAGATGTAGCCGAACCAGAATCAAGTGTTAAGAGGAACAAACAAGCAAGCACACGCACACACACACACACACACACACACACACAGTATATCTGCATCCAAAAATAGTCCCCATATCCAAAATTTACTAGTTCAGAATATTCCAATGAAGCTAGTGCAAAGTGGGTGAGGGCAACCAAATCTGAATTCAGGCTCCTCAAAAATAAGGCGACTTTATTCAGATTATTATAAAATTACATTGTTTAAGGTTGTCACTACCCTTCCCCTTGAGGGAGGCTCTGTACTTATATGGGATGCAGGTGGTGATGTGGTCTAAACCACTGAGCCTCTTGGGCTTGCCAATCGGAAGGTTGGCGGTTTGAATCCCCGTGATAGAGTGAGCTCCTGTTGCTCTGTCCCAGCTCCTGCCAACCTAGCAGTTCGAAAGCATGCCAGTGCAAGTAGATAAATAGGTACCGCTGTGGTGGGAAGGTAAACAGTGTTTCCATGCACTCTGGTTTCTGTCACAGTGTCCCGTTGCGCCAGAAGCGGTTTAGTCATGCTGGCCACATGACCTGGAAAGCTGTCTGGACAAACACCAGCTCCCTCGGCCTGAAAGCGAGATGAACGCCACAACCCCATAGTCGCCTTTGACTGGACGTAACTGTCCAGGGGTCCTTTACCTTTTTATTTCATTTTATTTTTTACTTATGGAGCTCCTGGCAGTAAGAGGCTGTGGTCAGAAATGTAACCCGTTGATAGTCCTATGTGGCACAGTGGGTCAGTGGGTCTGGCTGGTAACCAGAAGGTTGGTGGTTTGAGCACCTGCAGAGATGGCTGTGGGCAGGAATCCTGCATTGCAGGGGGTTGAAGTAGTTGACCTTCAGGGTCCCTTCCAGGTCTACGACTCTATGACTCTATGCTCATCAGCCAATGTTCCTGCCCCGAGAGCATGTGGTGAAGGGCAGGTGACAACAACAACAGACTTCCCCGATAGCTGTTCTAAATGCTTTATGAGTTTGTAATTAAACAGCCTCCTTCACAGCTCATAAAAACAATAATTGCAATTAAGATCTCCACATGTGCATGTGGCCTTAGAGATCCCACAAACACAAGTTTAGTGTACACACATATTGGGGAATATATATATAACATTTACAAGGCAATTTTCCCCTCTCTTGGGCCTACCTTTTTTGACTGTACCCCTGGTCTTATCACATTAATAATTTGGGAGCTTCATTTCCAGAAAGCAAGAATCAAATGAATATTTTATATTTGTTAACACAGCCCTGGAGCAAAAAGAGCAGGTGGGGAGAAAGGAGCCCATACTCACTGATTCAGAAACCTTTAAAACAACATCCTGACGCAGCCAGCCAGCAACGGCAGCTTCAGCTGAGCTGATCTTTCTGGTGCTGCTTCTGGAAGCATGGAAGAATGAGTTTAAGCCGACATTCCTTCAAGCTAGATCAAGGCACTGAAATATTGAACATGATAGCACCTATTTGAACACAAACGCCAACTTAAATGCATGTTAGTTCTTGAAATGAAGCCTCATCCCAATACTCTCAACTCAAATACACACGTAAGCAATTTGGGTTGTACTGCAGGGCCACATTAGAGGCAGAAAATGGGTTGCAAAGACAACAGCTATATTCAGTCTGGAGCACAATTTAGCAAATTTGCACTACCTGCTTTCACAACACAGTTTTGCAAAATATGGGGGTGGGGGAACCTACAGCTGATGAGCATGCTGTCTTTGTTCAACAATATTTTTTGGTGACATATTCTGAAATGTGTAAAAAATAATAATCCTTGACATGTCTGCAAATAAGATATTTGCATTCATAAGTCATGGAAGCCGAGACTTCCAGCGTTCAACCACTTTGCCTTGAGGTGTTGCATGTATGGGTCCAGAACCCACCCACCCAGTTAATGGTTTTAACGAAGCGTGGGCTAAAAACAGCAGAAATAAACCAACCCTGGTGGGGTAAAGCAGCGGGTAGGATGGGGTTAAGCAGCCCTCCCTCCACTTCTCTACTCCAAAATTCCCCCTGCCCTACTACCACTAAGCAGTCGCTTGGCAGAAGTGTGGGTTATGAGAACGGCCACCAAAATGTCTCTGAACCAAACTCATTAACGATACTTGCACAAGGCACCCACTGGACCCTATGGTCTGTCCACCAGGTTCTCCGCCACTAAACAATGTTAGTGTTCATACTGTGTGATATACCTAGAATTACATTTTTCTCCAAGGTGGCACTAGTCATAACACAAATTTGGCAATTATCAGGTCCTCATGGTTTGCAACACATTACAAGCAGCTACCGAAGGTGGAGAAAAGATTAAACCTGTCCCTGCTGCCTATTAGAAATAAGCTTCAGGATCAAACAGCAGCCCACTGCAGAGAGATCTGGAGAGAAAATGAAAACCAGAATGTCATTTGTCCCAACAGATCAAGGCCTATAATTTGTTAACTTCCTCTATGAGCATTGTGTCCTTAGGCTCAGATTTCAAGCTTGACATGTTTCAGGTAAGTGCCCTAGGACAAATGTACTGACATGCAAAAGAGAGTCAATGAGGTAACCATTTTTTTCATTAAAAGAAGTTTTGCATCATTCCTCTGCGATAATTCTGCATCTTATACCTGCTAACTGCTGCACCAAGAACCATGTTTCCTTCACACATTTATATAGCACAACCTGTGCAGTGATGCCCACTGCTAACCTCTATTTTCCCCGCAGAGCATTTACCAAAAATACTGAGAGGTATGTGGGCATGTTTACCCAGCATAGGTTCTTGCTGGCACACTGAACCAGAACAGTAACTGGCTTTGCTGCATGCCAACAGCATCATTGGTTAGAGCAGTGCTAGAAACTGAGCTATGAAAGCTAGGAGCTAAACGGCACCTTAAACCTAGGTTATGGGCACAGCAACAGAATATCTAGCCGCACTTTTTAAATAACAAGAATACAAAGCTGAAAATGAATAAACTGCAGCTAAAATCTTATGTTCATTTATCACATGGTCTAGTTCTCATCTGAAGACTGCAAAAAAACAAAGCCATGCTTCCCCTCCCCTCCCCCCTAATATTCTTAAGAGGATCTCTTCTTCATTCTTTAGAGAGTGGCTGGAAGTGGGGAGGCAGAAAAAGGTCCTCCTTTCCTTCCACTCTGCAGACAAGCCCTGGATTCCCCCTACACCCCCTTTCCTTCATATAAATATATCTTTTTGGCACCACAGTTAACACATATTAAAGGCCTATATGACTGATGGCAGAGACACCCACCTTGAGTGTCCAGTTCGCAAACCTAAGACTTAAGGGTTCCTTCAATGATCCCACTCCAAAATTTGTTTTGATTTTAAGCAAAGTCTGAGATAACACTTTAACATGAATTGCTTAAACCATCATAAATAACTGGCTAGTATATTTCAAATTAAAAGGACATCATACATTAAAAGTACATTAAACAAGGCAACTAAAACCTAAACAAAACATGTTGGAGTTAAAAGAAAAGAAAGTTTTCAGCTCCCCAATCCATGCACATTTTACTAAAACCTAAACAAAACATGTTGGGGTTAAAAGAAAAGAAAGTTTTCAGCTCCCCAATCCATGCACATTTTACTTGGGAGGAAGCCCCATTGAACTCATTTGGGATTTACTTCCGAGTAACAGTGGCAATTTTAATCTGAAATCTTCGGCACAGTACTGCGCCCAGAGCTCAGAAACTGCTCGCGTTTATGAAATTCCCTGTCGCAAAACACGCCTACAACAATGAGAGTGTTGAATGCTGGGTTACAGTGGTGGAAAGAGAGACTGTCAGCACAGCCACGCACCAGCAGGATAACTATCCCCCCAACCCACTGCCTCCCATATTGCGCAGAAACCTCAACCACCACTGCTCCACAATGGCCGTCAATAATCTCAGCACAGAGTACAATGAAAAAGGGCTTTGCTGGAACAGCCTAAAGGCACGTGAAAACACCGAGAAAGGAAAATACCAACAAGGAGAAGGCAGAAATATAAAGTCACATTTAAATCCCTCCATCCCAAATGCTAGAATACCTTCTGTGTGGAAATCCCCTCCAAGTGGTGATTCAGCAGGCCACTCCTTTGTATACTTTTAGGCATTCTGACATTCAAAAAATGCTGAGTGATCTGAAGCTTTTATTGATTGCTCTGCTTGCGAATGTTGTTTTAATGTTGTTTTATCTTGCTTTATGTGGTGTAAACCATTTTTAGGGTGCTTTGTTAATAAATTAAAAAATGCAGGGTACAAATTTAAACACTTACGCCTTTCACAACGCCCATGTTGAAAGACAGAGGAACAATCATATTGCTAAAGTGTTTGGTTCACAGATTTCCAGAACAGCTTTTAAATGGCAAATCAGCACACTGGCATGTTTCTCAAACATCTGTATGTATTTTTTTTACCTTTACCTATACATTTTTTCAGTCTTAGGTTTGGCAGGAAACAAAACAACAACAGACACTCTCTTCAACTGCTTCTCTTCACTTGCAAAGACCTGAAAAATCTGAGGCCGGGCGCATGACTTCCAAATCCACCCACTGAAGTACTGTCACAAATTGTTCACTACACAAAATTCCAAAAATTACTTAGGCACTATATATGTCATACCTTTTCTTTGGGCGCTTATACACTGAAGTGCTTCTATCTTATTGTCAAGTATGAGGTGAGTATAGAACCGCTTCCCATTTTCTAATCTAATCCCCCACTGCATGTAGGAAAATATGCTTAACATTGTTGTGGGGGAGGGCGAGAGCTAGAAAGCATGGCTTCACCAGTTCTCCATTACTGGGCCTTTCCCATAAAAGAATATTCTTACCTAAATAATAATAATAAAAACCCTACTTTCCCCTGAATTCTATACAGCTCAGATACACAATGAAAACAAACAAACACACATTTTAACAACCCAAAATCACACAAGATACACTGAAAAATGGCTCCCTTGCAAATAATTATTAGCAAACAAGGTACAGCCTGGAGGCAGATGAGGCAACAGAGGGGCTGAAACTAAGCAGGTCTGGACTGGGCCAGTGTCTGGGTGGGAGTCCACCTCAAAGCACCATGAATATCATCTTGAGTTCCATGTTGGAAGACAGGCAGGATATAAAATTACAAAGCACGTTGCTTTGTAACGAGGAGAAAAGGAACACAAGAGACACATTTTCTCCCTGGAATCTTGGATGCCACAAGCCCTGAGGCTACTGCTGCCAGAGCAGACCAGCTCCACTCTGCTGCTCATCCGCTTTTGGTTAGGAGAATTTTGATCAGGATCTTGTCTACTCAAAGAATTTGCAGTAGCATCAAATCCACCCTCATCACATTTCATCTCCATTCACTGTTGGCCCTTACTGTCCCACAACAAGTGTCTGATTCAAAGAAATGTAGTCACAGTTACATCTCTAAATTTAATACTAATAATAATACTAATACTAAAGTATAAACTTTTTGCTGATTTCGGGCTATTTTCATATACTTGCCCTCCATCCCAAGACCGCTTTGGGTTGGCATTTCATTGGATAAATTCACCCGTTTACGACTGTGCGCCAGAAAAAAAGGAAGGCAATCAGAAAATCAGCATCGCTGGTTGTTTAGCTTCTGGCGGCAGACAAGGTTAGCAAATTTCAGAGTTGACTAGTAGCTTTCAGAATTGACTACTATAAAACTTCTTCTTTTTTGTATGTTGAATTTAACTTAGGAGAGAAAGAGCATGCAATATAATACCAAAGGCTCGCAAAACACTGCAAGTCTTTGGCATGGGCCACACACTCAACTGCTTCTAGCGACATACAAGTTATTTTGAGAAAACGAGGAAGTACCTTAACGCAGGCAGAAACAGATCGTGGAATGCAGCATGGAATTGGACCCTACACAAACATCAGCCGACCCCACACACTGAATGCTGAGCTGGACAGACCCGTAGGGAGAACAGGGGAGAATCCCAGGGTACACAAGCAGCCCATCTCCCCATCCACACACAGAAGAGTAGGTTTCCTACATAAACAAGCTTAAGCTTTCCATTTAAGGGCAGCTTTGTAGACAGAAAGAACACAGCTCAAGCATGGCATATGCTGCCACCTACTTCTCTCTTGCCAATCCCTGCTGGCGTCCATATTGGTAATTTCCATTGGGCAAGTCAACGAGTGCAACTGGGGCCAAATCAACAAATTCAGGCTAAACTGGGAAACACAGGCCGGAGGGAACATTCTTGCCCAACTATCAGAGCACACTATCACCCGAAGACCTGCAGCAAGGGACAGTGTGCAAACCCACTAGGAATTGGTTCCAAACTGTTCTTACCATCAAGCAGATTTATTGGTGGTCAACCAAAGTCTGACCTCTTTCAGCTAAAGCCAGCAAGCTCTAATCCTGTCTGCTGAAGCAGTAAAGAA